TCTGAGGGCTGGAAGTGGGGGTGGGAGAGCAGCAGGGATGGGGGGAGCAGTGCCAGGGGGACAGATGTCTGTGGGCCGGAAGTGGGGGTGGGAGAGCAGCAGGGAAGGGGGAGCAGTGCCAGCGGGACAGCAGGCTGTGTCAGGGTGCTACCTGGCGGTTTTCTGATGCCTACAGTGCAGATGTGTGTGTATAATATGCAATTATTGCTGCTGACCCCTGTACTCTGCATTATTTACTCCTGAACTATGCTTTGTTTACCCCTGAACTCTGCCTTATTTATGCCTGGCCACTGTACTCTGCCTTATTTACTTCTGTACTCTGCCTTATTTACTTCTGACCCCTGTACTCTGCATTATTTACTCCTTCAGGGGGACAGATGTCTGTGGGCCGGAAGTGGGGGTGGGAGAGCAGCAGGGAAGGGGGAGCAGTGCCAGCGGGACAGCAGGCTGTGTCAGGGTGCTACCTGGCGGTTTTCTGATGCCTACAGTGCAGATGTGTGTGTATAATATGCAATTATTGCTGCTGACCCCTGTACTCTGCATTATTTACTCCTGAACTATGCTTTGTTTACCCCTGAACTCTGCCTTATTTATGCCTGGCCACTGTACTCTGCCTTATTTACTTCTGTACTCTGCCTTATTTACTTCTGACCCCTGTACTCTGCATTATTTACTCCTGACCCCTGTACTCTGCATTATTTACTCCTGACCTCTGCTGTATTGATGAGATTTGTAGTCCTCCAAAGCTGATGGTATTCTGCATTGAAGTATAATGTATTGTTGGGATTTGTAGTCCTCTGTAGCTGAGTGTATTATTCTGCATTATTGAGTGTGTGTGATTTTATTGTGTGTGTGATGTGTGTGTTTTAATGCGTGTGTGATATGTGTATGTCTAAAAGAAATCATATGTATTCAGGTCTAGCATAGTTGGCACTTTGAGATACATAAGTTGGTTTAGTGATCTAGTTTGGGCACTCAGGCTCAAAAAGGTTTGCCATCACAGTCATAGGGAGTAGGTCAGCTCATTTCAGTTCTGCTGGATCATATTGCTGTATTTATTATGTCTACCCAGCTCTAGTATACAAAGATTAATATACTGATCTTTCTGTTTGTGATTGATTTTGAAAGGTTTGGCATACCTGCAAGGCCTGAACTTTGAACGAATTGTTATGTGTCAGCTCAACCCACTAAAGATATGCCTTCCCGCAGTGGTTAATTTTTTTGCTGCCATCACTAGGTAAGTACAACACTGCATCTTGTTATAAAAATAGCTGCTTATTTATTTATATCAGTAAGTAGAGAATGAGTAACCTTTCTATTCTCTTACACCTTACAATTTTCCAGTGACATAATTTTCCCAGCATTTTTTGAAGAACACAGTAAATCTCTAGGAGCGTGAACAATAATTAGGCTGAAAAAGACATGCATCTATTCATTAAAATTCAAGGAGGTCCAGTGACCAACATTTTCTTCGAGCCGAGGTCCGAATTGCCGTCCAGACAGAACGGTCACCCAATCCATGTCTGCATCACTTTTGCCATTTAGGCTGCATTCACACCAGCAGCTGCACTGCAACGCACAGCTGCTGGTGTGTTTTCCCAGGCACAATACTAATGCATTGATCCCAACGCATCTCACTTTTTAAAAACCTTTTTGTTAGAACTTTATTGAAATGTCACAAGTGACATTTTATTAAGTACTATTGGCAAAGCGTAGTGTGATGCTGTTGTACCACATCTTGGCTGGCTTAACTGAAAAGTACAGCATCCATCAGAGTGTCTCTTACATCAATTCTCCCCATCAGAATGACCTTTACATCAGTAAGAGCTGACCCGCTTAGCGGTCGGGCTGATTTGGCCCGGAACGCGGCAGGCTGAGCTGACCATGCAGCCGTGGCCCTCTATTCAGGCATATCGGAAGGCCCTCTGATGTGCCTAAACAGAGAGCTGCGGCTGCAGTCACCAGTCTCACTGACCCCCCCTGGAACCCGCACTAACTTCCCCTGGATCCCACACTGACCTCAGGCAGCGAACCTGGAGCAACACAGAGTATGTAGCTTCATATTATTCTGCATTGCTGTATAAAGTATTGCTGGGATTTGCAGTCCTCTATAGCTGGCGGTATTCTGCATTGCTCTGTAATGCATTACTGGGATTTATAGTCGTCCTATAGTTAGTGGTAATATTCTGCATTGCTGTATCATTTATTGCTGGGATTTGTAGTCCTCTATAGCTGGTGATATTCTGAATTTCTGTGTAATGTATTACTGGGATTTGTAGTCCTCTATAGTTGGCGGTATTCTGCATTGCTGTATAATGTATTATTTGGATTTGTAGTTCTCTATAGTTGGCAATATTCTTCATTGCTCTACAATGTATTGCTAAAATTTCTAGTCACTCTACAGCTTGGAGTAATTTGGACTCCCTTACATGATGAGAACCACTAATTTGCGGCCTAACTTGAAGACCTGGAGAATCATCCCCGAACACGTTGTGGACATACAAGCCACCGTTCTAGCTATGGTGCAAGAACTAGTCTACCAGGACGCCTGGAACTGGAACACGTCCACCATGTATTGACCAGGAGACCTCCAGATGGCCTACCTCACGACATAATCGCCAAATTTAATTATTACCGCATGAAGGAAGCAGTTCTCCAGGCTGCTCATAATCAACCAACTCTGTCCTTCCAAGGATATGAATACAAAGTTTTCACTGATTTGGCCCCCTCTACGATAGCAAAATGGAAGGAACTGAAACTGATCTTATTGATCCTGCAAAATAATCAGATATCATAGTGCTGGGGTTTTCACTTTCATCTGCTCTTCCACTACAACTCTCGCTACAGCATCGTCTAAATAGCGCCACCCCCATACTCCTGGTCTTCAATCCTCTCCATTCACCTCTCAACGAGCCTTGGGAAAGAAATGTTCTTCAGCTCTGCCGGAGATGGACTATGATTCAGCGGACTGATCTGGACCTTATTTCTCTATGGCTATTTCCTTGCGGACACTGCCATACTCCGTGTGTTATCTTTTGCTGTTGTTATCTCAAAATTATCCCCTTTATATATA